GGAGGGCGGCCGCAGGGCCGGATCGGGGTCGGGGTCTCGGAGGGGCGTTCTCTGGGGTGTGCGCCGCGGCGGGCCGGGGCCGCCCGGAGGCTGGTGGCGTTCCCGCGTGGCGCGTCGCCGAGGATCCTGGGCGCAGCTTGGGGGGCGGGAAGCGTGCTGGAGGTGCCCGGAGCCTGAGAGAGAAGGGGCTTCGCTCGGGGCCGCGTGTCCTGCCTGGGGGCCCTCGGGGTGGGTTCGCCTTGCGGGTGAAGAAAGGGCTTTGGGGAGAGGATAGAGCATGGCCTGTTGTCCCCCGTGGGAGCGGGAGCTGGGGGCTGGAGGGCCCGTCCTGAGGATGCTTGCTCGAGGCGGGTGGCTGCTGGTCTTCCGGTTGTGTGTTTCTTCGGCACCACGCGGAGCCTTTATCTGGGAGAATTGTTCCGAGCTCGTTCTGTTGGCAGAATGTCCTTGCAGTTGTTGCACGGGACCGCGTCTCCTTGCTGCCTGCCAGTCTGAGTGGCCCTTAGCTCCTGGAGGTCTTTGCACGTGGCCAGGCCTACATCTCAGAATCAGCATTGGCCTGTCTGGTCCTTCTCAGGCTCTTAAGAGCTCATGGGGTTAGATTGGGTCCGCCAGTGTAATCCATGTCCAGAACCTTAATTCCCTCTTCAAAGTCCCTTTTGCTGTGTAGTGTAACATATCCATAGATTCCAGGCATACGGATGTGGACGTGGGGGGAGGTGACATTCTGCCTCCCATAGATTTAATCTATGACCCCTTTGTCAAGATCCCATATATAATAGATAAAGGAGATGTAAAACAAGAGTATGGTTTAGTACAACTTATAGTAGAAAGGCCAGAAAAAATATATGCATGTTTAGGCATGTAAGCCATAATGATCTGGAAGGGTACACTAGAAACTGGGAAAGGGAAGCAAGCAGTTGGTTGGCTAAGAGGTATTTCACTATAAATTTTTTTTTACTTTTTAAGTTTTGAGCCACGGGATTGTGCCTCTATTCAGTAACAACAATGAAAATTAAAAGTATCTTAAAGTGAGCTGAATAAATATTGCAAGTGATTAATTCTTCCCCTGGGTGGGGGAGAGTGAAGGTTTCCCCCATGGAAACTGGTCATCTGCACTGTCAGGGTAGGGGGACACAGTCACTGATGGTCTTTTGGCACCCCCCACCCAATGTCTCCTGCTCTGTTCTGCTGCTGTGCGGGCGTGTGCCTTACTCCGTGCTCTCCCTTTTGAATCTGGCCTTACACCATCCCTCTGAGCACCACTGCCAGGTTAATCTTGAGATGTTTTGTTAGTTTTTGTCTCCTAATAAAGAAATGTGGCTGGTGCCTCACCTTCATCCAGCAGCCAAGGCCTGTTACAGTCTGTCCCCATGACAATCCCACTGAGCTCTGTGTGTACCTCCTTGCTTTTTCCCTACACTTGCCCTCTGACTTTCCCACTCAGACTACTAGTCGTAAGTTTCTCTGTGATCTCAGTCTAGCAGCCCTGCCCAGACCTGCTTCCTTCCCCAAGCTGCCTGTGGGTGACGCCTACAATTACCTTGACTCCCTGCATCATCCTCCTTCACCCTTCCAAGAAGCCACACCCCAACCCCCTTCTACTAGTCGTAAGTTTCTCTGTGATCTCAGTCTAGCAGCCCTGCCCAGACCCGCTTCCTTCCCCAAGCTGCCTGTGGGTGACGCCTACAGTTACCTTGACTCCCTGCATCATCCTCCTTCACCCTTCCAAGAAGCCACACCCCAACCCCCTTTCCAGATCCCCTTGACCACACCTTCACTCTGAGCAGGTAACACTGCCTCTGCCTCTTGAAATCTCCCTTCAACTTTACACCAGTCCTTAGTGGAGCAAAATGTTCTTTCTCCCAGGCAAGGCAAAAAGAACAGGAGAGCCTGTTGGCTGAAGATGCTGCATCTGGACGGTTTGTGCCCCTCACAAGGTGGTAGGAGGCCACTTCCAGCTGCCTCCAAGCATCACCAGCACCTCCAGCCTTCAGAGGCCTCTGCTGCAGAGCCTCAATTTCACAGAGTTCAGGCAGCACCCTCACTGCAAGGCCTGTGGGACCCAACACAGTGCCTCTGGGGCTTTACCCCACTCATTTGTTTCCCTGTCTACAGTGGCCAACCACTGCTCTGGGAACCTGCCTGGCATGTCCCTCCCATCCCCAGCCTTTGCACTCCCTCTGCCTCTGCCTAGTACTCCCTTTCTTCAGTGCCTGCATGGCTCTTTCCCTCCCTCACATTTAGGTCACTTTCTCAGTGAAGCCTACCCTGACTGCCCTAGTTAAAATACCCCACCACACCCCACCCCAGGCCTCTGGTGTTTCCCTGCTGCCTGTGCCCAGAGCACTTGCCCCATCTCACTGATGCATTTGCTATGATCTGTCTCCCCACTGAGATCCAAGAGGGCAGTAGTTACTGCTGTGTCCCACACTGCCCCCCAGAACAAATCCCAGCATATAGCAGGTGTTAAGGAAACACTGAAAAAATGCATATCCAAGAGAACTTCGGTTTGTAGGTTGACAGGCGTTCTGCTGTGTGGATTTCTGCCAGCATTTCCTGCCTTGTCTTCTCCACCCCTGAAGAGCAGAGGAGTCAGGGTGCCTGTTGGTGGTAAATGTAAGTGAAGGGCAGGCGTGTCAAGCCCTGTCCAGGGGAGCCTCTGGGCTGTTACACTTCCTTCTGTGTAACAGAGACATAAAAAAGAACTACTCAATTACTCGAAGCACTATGAATGCATTGAGAAGCCCAGAATGACAGCACTTCAATAATTTCCACATTAGGAAGATAAAGCTGATTGTGACAGCCCCAATTCAAAGTTAGCTTCTCCCTTTTTTTATAAAGACAAGGAAGTTTCACAAGAAAATTCAGTTGATTTAATCGTTACAAAGAACACAAGGACATGGGCAGAGTTATGGCTAAGTATAGTTTTAACAATGGAAACTAGTAACATCAGTGAGATAAAATTCCATAACGTAATTTGCAAAAGGTTAAGTCAATCCACCAACAAAAGCTTGTTAGCAAACACTTTCTTTTCCTACAGCAATTTCTTCAGTATATTTACATAACAATCAAGTAACTTTCTCAACATATCAATCAGTAGGTTAACCTGCACCAAGGACATCTGCTCTTTGAGCCAGCAATTTTGCTGTGTTACAAGCTCTTTGTCTACAACAGAGACTTTATCCTGGGGAAAGTTTCCTGTCTTTTGCAAACTTAACATTTCTATGTGTAATTTTAAAAAGTTAGGTCCTGTGAAATATATTTGTTTTATTAATGTTAGTACTCTCCACACTGGGCAGAGTGTGGTGCATTTATGCAGAGCCGGGCAGTGAGAAGGTAGGGGGAATCCCATCATTCCTCCAGGTGGAAGTGCCACATCCTGCTCAGAGGGAGGACTGGAGATGAGCCCAAGTTTGGGAGTCTTCACAGTGTAAGGCCTGTTGACACCTCAGGACTGGACAGAATCACCGAGTAGGTTGGCGAAGGTGCAGAACTGAACCCTGGGGCGCCAACAAGAAGAGAGAGATGAGAGGCTGGAAGAGAGCAGCTGTTGCAGTGGGAGGACGGAGATGGAGACACCCTCTGGATGCTGCCAGGAGGGTGCAACTCAGACAGAATTCACTACTAGGATTGGCAAGCATTGGTATGAGGACCGTGTGTGTCTGCAGTCCGGGCTGCTCAACCTTTGGAGCTGACTCTTCCCCACTGTAGATGGGTCTGGCGCATCCAACTTCACAGTATTTAAGTGTCAGGAATGAAGAGTGAGAGGGATGGGCTCACAGCAGTGTTACAGGCTTTGTGGGGGCTGCACTCCTCCTATCACGGCAGGCCTGGGCCCTTCAGTGGGTGCCTGCTGGGCACCATGGGCTCACTTTGTCATGGTTAACATCTCGCCCCTTTGTACCTGCAGCCCTGGCTCATGAGTCTGTGTCCCCATGGCTGACTATCCTTCCCCTTGGGTCTAAGATCAGGGAACACAGCATTAGTCCCTGAGACCTGGCAGCACCAGCTCCTCTTCAGGTCTCAGACTGCAGGAGTAGAGGAGGAGACCCCTGCCTGATGGGAAGATGGATTCCTGAAGGTAGCCCCTGTGTATACTCACCTGTGTCCTTGCTGGTCTCCATTTCCTAGCCATGCCCAGCCTCAGAGCTCGTCCCAAGGAGGCAGAGGTGGAGCCGTCAGCTCCAGGATCATCCCCGTGGACCCCTGCAGCCCAGGCCTGTGTGAGTGATGCTCCTGCCGTGACCCACCCTGCATCCGCAGTCTGTGGTCCCTTCTGTGGCAGTGCTGAGCAAGAAGCCATCTGCCCTCACCATCAACAGCCAGGTACTGGGAATAGGTTCCTTGATACCCTTAGTCTAGGGAGATGTCATCCACATCACCCTGCACTCACCCCTAGGAGGCATGTGTGTCATCACAGGCCTGGGGTCGGGGAGGAGGATGCATCATGGACTCACGGGGCCAAGGCTGGATGTCAGAGAGGAAGCTGACCTGGCCCCTCATGCAGTGAGCAGAACACTGTGGTTTCCCCACTTGACACAGGTGTGACATGATGACTGCCAGGGTCCTTTGCTTTGCTTTACAGCCCTGACCCCTGCCAGCCTAACAGCCAGGCTGGTGGTGGTCCTCAGTATTCTCCTCTAGTCCACGCCTTGGCCCTGCTTCCTCCTGGCTGCATTCACACTGCCTGGCTGCTCCCATCCCCTTGAGAACCCTGTCAGAGAGTCCTGTCTAAAGACCCCTTATTAGCTCATCTCTTTGGACCTCTCAACAGTAATCAGGATGGCTACTCCATGTTAGTGTCCTTTGCTTGGATCAAACAGTGGTTGTTTTAAAGGGGACACCCAGGTCATACCCTGTGTGGGCAGGGAAGGTTGGTCTAAGGGCAGAGACGACGCAGGGCAGTCCTAGGTGTTCTGAACAGAACAGAGAGGAACATATTCTGAATAGGGGAAGGAGGAGGCAGGCAGAAGATGAAAGACATAAGAAGATCCCCAGGCGTGGCCCTGAGAGATGGCTTGCTGACCAGCCTGAGCAAAGGCAGGATGTTAAGGAGAGGCCAAGGGGCCCGTGCCAAGTGTGTTGAGTGGAGAATGGTGAGGGAAGCTGGCAGGGGTTGGGGGGGGTGGGGAGGGACACACAGGAAGCAGGCTGATGGGTGGCTCATGTTTTAAAAGCCACTGGGGAATAAACTGGTGGAACAGGCAGCTCCAAGCATTTGTTCATCCACATAAACATTAAAAAAAAAAAAATGAAAACAAGTAGACACTGTCAGAACCAGCTTTGTCTTAAATCTTGAAAACTGTCAAAGGATTACAGCAACCAAGTAAACACTGAATCAAGAAAAAGGCAGCTTAAAGCTGGTGGAAAGCTATGGTGGTTTTACTTGCCCATGCCCCAGCCCCTTAGTGGCTCAGTGGCAGTCTTAAAGTGAGCAGCCTGCATTCCCAGTGGGACCCGGGTCCCAGTTCTGGAGGGAGCAGAGCAGATCTTATTCAGAAGTTACTGTGTTTGTTCCAACCTGTCTGGGGCTCCCTGAAGGATTGACGCAAGGTGCTCATCTCTGTTTTGCCTAACTCAGAGCAGAAAAATGATAGGCTCAGAAACATTGTCAGGCAAGCTAAAATCCCACAGCTGCTTGGGGCGTCAAGTATGATTACACATACATTCAGCCACCTTAAGCCTAGGAAGAAAAGCTGGGGAGAGAATTTCTTGGGGAAAATGAGGGCATTCAAAATTACCCTTGTATACTGGGGAATTTAGAAAGCCACTTGCATGCCCAAGATAAGATATGTGCTCAGAAAAGACCTGTGAAGACCATAAGCTTTCACCTCTGGCTGATCTCTAGGCTCTGTGAGAGTAGGAAACCCAGGAAGAATTTTAAACAATATTAAGGAAGTGCCCCAGCACAACCAATCTACAAAGACTACAACAGGCATTTTGTTTTTCTTTTGCTTTTGACATTGAAGGAAATCTCTGCCAAAACACTAGCTGAACAAACACAAGCTAAAGAAACAGAGGCTTCAGTGACTACACTTGACAAGGAATAGTTTTTGCAAAAGTAGCTTGGAATAGTCATTAAATGAACAAACAGCTATATCCTTCAACAATCAAGAATGACAAACCCCAGGGAAAGGGGGAAGTCTTATTTACATAGTTACCAGATTATAATATTCAAATCCCCAGTTTTTAACCAAAATCACAAAGCATACAAAGAAGCAGGAAATTATGGCCAATTCAAAGAAAAAAAATAAATTGGCAGAAAGTATTTATCAGAGAGCACAGACATTGGACTTACTAGAAAAGGACTTTAAATAAGCTGTCTTAAATATGCTCAAAGAGCTAAAAGAAACCATGGACGATGTCTTAGTCCATTTTATGTTGCTATAACAGAACTCCTGAGACTGGGTATTTTATAAAGAAAAGAGGTTTCTTTGGCTCACAGTTTTGGTGGCTGGAAGTTCAAGATTGGGCAGCTGCATCTAGCAAGGTCCTCAGACTGCTTCAACTCATGGCAGAAAATGGTAGGGGAGCATGCAGAGATCACATGGTCTGAGAGGAAGCAAGAGAGAGAAGCCAAGGAAGCTAGGCTCTTTTAACATCCCGCTCTCACAGGAACTAAACCATTTCCGTGAGAGTAATAACTCACTGACTCCTGTAGGAAGGCACTAATCCATTGGTGAGGGATCCACCCCCTTGACCAAAATACCTTCTACTAGTCCCTACCTCCCAACACTGCCACACTGGGGATCAAAGTTTAACATGAGTTTGGCAGGGACAAACCACATCCGAACCATAGCAGACAAAACTAAAATAACCAGGAAAATGATGTATGAACAGAATGAGAATATCAATAAAGATAAACAAATTATAAAAAGAAACCAAATCAGGGCCGGCCCGGTGGCACACTGCTACAGTGCGCCACTTGGGAGCACGACGGCACTCCCGCCGAGGGTTCGAATCCCACATATAGACCGGTTCCCGCTCACTGGCTGAGCAAGGTGCGGGCACAGCACCAAGGTTTGCGATCCCGTTGCCGGTCCCGGTCCCAGTCCGGTACGGGCGCGACACTGAGGGTTGCGATCTGTTGCCGGACACGAAAAAAGACAAAAAGGAAAAAAAAAAAGAAAGAAACCAAATCAAAGTTCTGTGACTGAGAATTGCAATGAAGTAAACTGAAAAATTTGAGCAGGCAGAAGAAAAGATCAGCAAACTTGAAGGTAGGGCAACTGAAATTATCCAGTCTGAGGAGCAGAAAGAAAAAAGATCTAGGAAAAGTGAACAGAGCTTGATGGACCTGTGGGATGTCATCGAGCAGACCAATATATATGTTATGGGAGTCCAAGGAGGAAACAAGTACAGAAAGTGGGTAGAGGGACTGGCCAGTTGGCTCGGTTGGGTAAAGCACAGTGTAATGACACCAAGGTCAAGGGTTTGGATCCCGGTACTGGCCAGCTGCCAAAAAGAAGAGAAAGGGGTAGAAAGAATATTTGAAGAAACAATGGCTAAAAACTTCCCAAATTAGATGAAAGATATGAATGTACACATCCAAGAAGCTTAACAAACTCTGAGTAGATAAATTTAAAGAAGTCCTCACCAAGTCTCATTATAATCAAATTGTCGAAAGTCAAAGAGAGAATCTTGAAAGCAGCAAGAATGAAGGGACCTGTCTAGCACAAGGGATCCTCAGTAAGATCAACAGCCAATTTCTCATCAGAACCCATGGAGTTCAGAAGACAGCAGGATGGCATATTTAAAGTGATGAGAAGAAACAAAACCTGTCAACCAAGAATTCTGTATCTAGCAAAATTTCCCTTCAAAATGAAGGGGAAATTCAGACATTCCAAAATAGACAAAAGCTGAGGAAGTTTGTTACCAATAGACTTGCCCTACAAGAAATGCCAAAGGGAGTCCTAAAGGTTGAAATGAAAGGACACTAGAGGGACCCAAAGCCCTATGAAGAAATAAAGCCTCCACTAAAGGTAACTACACAGGTAGGTATAAAAGTTAGCACTGTATTTTTGGCTTGTAAGTCCACTTTTTATTTTCTACACAATTTAGAGAACAAGTGCATAAAAAATAACTATAAGTCTGTGGGTTTTGTACCCACAACTTATAAAGGTATGATTTGTGATAACAGTGTAAAGGGAGTAACAGCTGTGTAGGAGCAGAGTTTTTGTGTGCTATTGAAGCTAAGTTGGTATCAGTTGTTTTAGGATATTAGGATGTTCGTTGTAATCTCCATAGTAACCACAAGAAAATTTCTTTTTTTTTTTTTTTCTCTCTTTTTTAAAAGATGACTGGTAAGGGGATCTTAACCCTTGACTTGGTGTTGTCAGCACCACGCTCTCCTAAGTGAGCCAACCGGCCATCCCTATATAGGGATCCGAACCCATGGCCTTGGTGTCATCAGCACCACACTCTCCCAAATGAGCCACAGGTCGGCCCCCACAAGAAAATTTCTTAAAAATGTACAGAAAAAGAACTAAGGAGGGAATCAAGATGGTGTACTACGAAAAACTCAACTGAACTCCAAAGAAGGCGGCGACAGAGGAACTGAGGGACAAAAAGGTAAAAGGTAGACCAAGACCAGATGCAGAATGGCAGAAGTCAGGCCTTCGTTTTCAGTAATTACCTTAAATGTGAATAGATTAAACTCTCCAGTCAAAAAGCAGGTATTGTCAGAATGGATAAGGAAGCATGATCCAATTATATGCTGTCTACAAGGGACTTACTTTAGATTCAGAGACACAAAAAAGCTTAATGTGAAAGGTAGAAAGTAACCAAAAGAGAGCTGGGTTGACTATACTAATATCAGACAAAGTAAACTAAGTCAAAACTGTTACAAGAGACAATGAAGGACATTTTATATTGATAAAAAGATAGATTCATCAACAAGATATAGCAATTATAACAGATACAAACCAAATAAAGAGCCCCAAAATATATGGAGCAAACATAGATTTGAAGGGAGAAATAGACAATTCTATAAGAAAAGTTAGAGACTTCAATATCCACTTCCAAAAATGGACAGAACATCCAGACAGAAATCAGTAAGGAAATAGGGGACTTGAACAACACTGTAAGTCAGCGACACCAGTAGACATTTCTATGGTCTGAATGTTTCTGTCCCTCCAAAAGTTATATCTTGACATCTAATTCCCAATGTGTTGATATTAACAGGAGGGTCCTTTGGGAGATGACTAAGTCATGAGAGCAGAGCCCTTGTGAATGGGATGGATGCCTTATAAAAGAGGCCTGATGGAGCTTGTATGCCCCTTTTCTTGCCCTTCTGCCATGTGAAGAGACCTAGAAGGTACTACCTCTGAGGAACAGGCCCTCGCCAAATAACAAATGTGCTGGCATCTTGATCTTGGACTTCCCAGCTTCCAGAACTGTGAGCAGTAAATTTCTGTTGTTTATGAATTACCCAGTCTAAGGTATTTTGTTAAAGCAGCCCAAATGGACTGTGAAGAAATATATAAAACACTCCACCGAGAAGAACAGATAACACATTCTTCCCAAGTGTATGTGGAACATAACACGTCTCGATAAATTTAAAAAGATTGAAATCAGGGCCGGCCCGGTGGTGCACTGGAGAGTGCGCCGCTTGGGAGCACGGAGGCGCTCCCGCCGAGGGTTCGGATCCTATGTGGAGACTGGTTCCCACTCACTGGCTGAGCGCGGTGCAGGCGCAACACCAAGGGTTGTGATCCTGTTGCCGGTCCCCGGTACGGGCGCGACACCAAGGGTTGTGATCCCGTTACCGGTCAGTAAAAAAGACAAAAAGGAAAAAAAAAAAAGATTGAAATCATACAAAGTATCTTCTCTGACCAATAACAGCAGTAAAACTGGAAATTTTCCAGATATATAGAAATAAAGCAACAAATGGGTCAAAGAAAAAAATCACAAGGGAAATTAGAGAATACCTTCAGACAAATGAAAACACAGCATACCAAAATTTATGCCTTAATTAAGAAGGAAGAAAAATATTGAATCAGTAACCTAACATTACACCTTAAAAGACTACTAGAAGAGCAAACTAAACCCAAAGCTATCAGAGGGAGGAAACAAGATTACAACAGAGATGAGGGAAATAGAGAATAGAAAAACAGTAGAATCAACAAAATCAAAATGTCAACAAAATTAACAAACTGTTCTTGAGATTGACAAAGGAAAAAAGAGAAAACACAAATAATGAAAATCAGAAACAAAAGTGGGGACATTACTACCAACCTTAAAAACATAAAATAGGAGGATAAGAGAATACTGTAACAGTTGTATACCAACAAATTAGATAACCTAGATGAAAGGGACAAATTCATAGAAATACACAAAGTACCAGAACTGACTCTGAACAGACCTGTAACAAATAAAGAGATTGAGTCAGTAATAAAAACTCCCAGCAAAGAAAAGTCCAGGACCAAAATGGCTTTAATGATTAATTCTACTAGCATTTAATGAATTAATATCCATCCTTCTCAAATTCTTCCAAAGTATAGAAGAGGAGGGAACACTTCCCAACTCATTCCGAGGCCAGCAGTATATACTAATATGGGTCAAATTGTGTCCCCCAGAGGTTCATGTATGAGAAACTTAAGCCCTACTGGGGCAGTGTTAAGAGGGTGGGAAATCCTGTTATGGTAATTGAAAGGTGGAGCCTTTAAGAGGTGATTAAGTTGTGAGGACTGAACCCTGATGAATGGATTAATCCATTGATGGTTTAATGGGTGGTAATGGGCACAGTTCTGATGGCTCTAAAAGGAGAGCAAGTGAGGACTTAGGTCTGTCTTGCTCAGCCCATTCTCCATGTGATATCCTGCATCACTGCCACCACCACCAAGGCCCTCACCAGATATGTTCCCTGGATTTCGGACTTGCCACCCTCCAACATTATAAGAAATAAGTTGTGTTTTTTTATAAATTACCCAGTTTCAGGTAATCTGTTCTAAGCAAGAAAAACAGACTAATACACCTACCAAAGCCAGATAAAGACAGCACAAGAAAAGAAAATTAGAAACCAGTATCCCTTATAGCTAGAGATGCAAAACTCAACAGAATAATGGCAAACTGAATCCAACAGCATGTTGTATTATACCTTGTGACCAAGTGAGATTTAACCCAGTAATAGAAGGGTGGTTTAACCAAAGAAAACCAATCAGTGTAATTCGCTACATTAATAAAATGAAGGAGAAAAATCATGATTATCTCAATTTATATAGAAAAAGCCTTTGATAAAATCTAACACTTATGATTGGAAAAAAAGAAAGAAACTCATGAAACTTGTAATAGAAAGGTACCTGCTCAACATGATGTAGGGCATTTGTGAAAAACCCACAGCTAACATATTCAGTGGTGAAAGAGTAAAACTCCCCCCCCCCAGATCAGGAGCAAGACAAGTATGTCTGATTTCACCACTATTCAACATTGTACCGGAAGTTCTAGCCAGAGCAAGGAGGCAAGAAAAAGAAAGAAAAGGCATCCAAATTGGAAAGAAAGAAGTAAAAATCTATTTGCATGAGACAAAACTCCATACATAGCAAATCCCAAAGAATCCACAAAAAAGCTACTAGAGGTAGTAAACTAGTTCAGCAAAGTTGCAGGGAACAAGATCCGCACACAGTCAGTGTGCTTCTATACACCGGCAATGAACAATCTGAAAAGGAAATCAAGGAAGCAACTCCATTTACATGGAATCAATAGGAAAAAAAACTAGAGATAAATTTAACCAAGGAGACAAAAGTTCACTGAAAACTGCAAAACGTTACTGAAAGGAATTAAAGAAAATACAAGTAAATGGAAGACATTCCATGTTCATGAATTAGAAGATGTAATATTATACCAAAACTACCCAAGGTGATCTTTGTTTTTTGGTTTTTTTTTTAAACATGACTGGTAAGGGGATCTTAACCCATGCTCAGCCAGCAAGCAAACCGGCCATCCCTATATGGGATCCGAACCCATGGCCGTGGTGTTATCAGCACCGCACTCTCCCGAGTGAGCCACGGGCCGGCCCCCAAGGTGATCTTTGGATTCAATGCAATTCCCATCAAAATTCCAATGGCCTCATTTGCAGAAATGGAGAAGTTGATCCTTAGATTCATATGGAACTACAAGTGCCCCAAATAGCCAAAACAATCTTGAAAAAGAGTAACAAAGCTGGAGGAGTCACACTTTCCACTTTCAAAACTTACTACAAAGCTCCAGTTATCAAAACAGTTTGGTACTGGCATAAAGATAGATATACAGACTAGTGGAATAGAATTGAGAGTGCAGAAATAAACCTGTACATCTGTAGCCAATTGATTTTGTTTTTGTTTTTGGTGGCTGGCTGGTGCAGGGATCTGATCCTGTGACCTTATTGTTATAAGGCTGCACTCTAACCAACTGACCTAACCAGCCAGCCCTGTAGCCAGCTGATTTTTAACAAAGGTGCGAAGATCTTTCAAGCAGAAGAAAAACAGCCCTTCAGCAATTAGTGCTGGAATGAGTAAATATCCACAATGCCAAAGCACAAAGTCAGGCCCCTACCTTATGCCACATACAGAAGTTAAGTCAAAGTGGATCAGTGATGTAAATATAAGACTTTTAGAATAAATTATAGGGGTAAACCTTCATGATCTTGGATTTGGCAATGGATTCTTAGATATGTCACCAAAAGCATAAACAACAAAAGAAAAAAATAAATTACACTTCATTAAAATTTAAAACTTTTGGGCATCAAAGGACATTATCAAGAAAGTGAAAAGACGTCCTACGGAATGGGGGGAAATCTTTGCAAATCATATATCTGATAAGGGTCTAGTGTGCAGAGCATATAAAGAACTTTTACAACCCAACAAAAGACAACCCAATTTGCTAACAGATGAAAAGATGTTTAGTATCATTAGTCATTAGAGAAATACAAATCAAGAGTACAATGAGGTCATTCCTAGGATGAGTGTAATAAAAAAAAAGAACTAGTGTTCACGAGGATGTGCAGAAATTGGAACCCTCATACATTGCTGATGGGAATGCAAAGTTGGACAGTCACTGTGGAAAATAATTTGGCAGTTCCTCAAAAGTTTAAACATAGCATTTCCAAATAACCCAGTAATTCCACTCCTTGGTATATGCCCAGAAGAACTGCAGACAGGTACTGCTTTGGGTTGAATATCCCCCCAAAACTTAATCCCAACTGTGACTGTTAAGAGGATGGGAAATTCTATTACAGTAATTGAAAGGTGGGGTCTCGAAGAGGTGGTTAGATTGTAGGACCATGCAGTAGTGAATGGATTAATAATGATGGTCAGGGGCGTGGTTTGGAGGGCTTTAAAAGGAGAGTGAATAAGGAGGTTAGTCTCTCTCTGCTCCACCATTTTTGCAGTGTGATACACTGCTGTCACTGAAGTTAACCAACAAAGAAAACCTTCACCAGATGTGTTCCTTGGACTTTGGACTTCCTAGCCTCTGAAATTGTAAGCAATAAATTTTGTTTTCTTATAAATCACCCAGTTCCAAGTATTTTATTCTAAGCAACAGAAACGGACTAATGCAGGTGCTTACACAAGTACACATACCTTGTGTTCATAGCAGTACTATTCACAGTGTCCAAAAGGTGCAAACGACCCAAACGTCCATCAGTGGAAGGATGGATGAATGGTAGTATATGCATACTATGGAATATAATTCGGCCATAAAAAGGAGTGAAGTACTGATACATGCAACAGTGTGGGTGAACCACCAAAACATTTGCCAAGTCAAAGAAGCCAGTCACAAAAGACCATGTACTGGATGATTCCATTTATGTGAAGTATCCAGAATAGTTAAGTCCTAGAGACAGAATACAGGTTGGTGGTTGTCAGGGGCCGGGGGAAGGAGGTGATGGGGGTAAACTGCTTAGTGGGTAAGGGGTTTTACTTTGGAGTAGTGAAATTTTTTTTTTTTTTTTTAAAGATGACCGGTAAGGGGATCTCAACCCTTGGCTTGGTGTTGTCAACACCATGCTCAGCTAGTGAGCCAACCAGCCATCCCTATATAGGATCCGAACCCGTGGCCTTGGTGTTATCAGCACGGCACTCTCCCAAGTGAGCCACAGGCCAGCCCGAAAATGTTTTGGAAATAGAAGTGGTAGTCGCACGACATTATGAGTGTGTTACATACCACTGAATTGTTCATTTTGGAATGATTAATTTTATGTTGTGTGAATTTCACTTCACCTAAATAAATTATTAAATAAAACAAAAAGAAAAGTAGCTGCAGGTGATGGAGGACTGGTGGAGCCCCCCCTGAGTGTGAGGTGCCACTGGGGTCTGTATGGCAGACGGTCTGGCTGTGGTGCTGGGAGAGGCCGCTGCTGCACCACTGCAACAGGTGATGCATCATGGTCACACAAGCCTGGTTTTACGACTTGGGTAGTGATTGAAACTGTGTTCTACAAGCCTGGAAGCCACTAAGCATAAAGGTCTTTTACCATAAAGGTGTTTCCTTTCAGAGGAAATTTTATATTGTTCTGGAAGAGCTCAGAATCCTTACCTTCTTCATCTAAGGAGGAACTTTCATCATTTTTTCCCACAGTTCTTATGTTGCAAAGAATTGCATCCAGTTTAGTAAGTCCAAACAGTCATCCCCACCATTCTCACCCACAGAATTCACTTTTTATTTCTGTCTGAATAAAAGACTGTCATCTGAACAGTGGCTCAGGCTAGAGAGCCAATTCCTCATTGCCACCATCTCCTGACCACAGTAGTGGCATCTCATCTCAATCAGGGGTCACCAAATCCAGCTGGCAGGTTGTTTTTTATGGCCTTACAAGCTAAGAATGGTTTTGAGGGTTTTTTAAAGGGTCTTTTTTTTTCCCTTGGTGTTTTTGTTTTTGTTTTTGACTGCTTGATAGTACGGGCATCCAAACCTTTGACCTTGGTGTCATGACACTGTGCTCTGACCAACTAAGCTAATTGGCCAGCCCTAAAAGGTTATTTTAAAACAGCAAAGAAGACCATGTAACAAACTATACAGCCGCAAAGCCTAACAGTTTCTCTCTGACACTTTACAGAAATCTCTACTGACTCCTGTCTGTGTAATTGCCACGGCCTTTTTTATCCTTCCTCATCTGGTCCCTTCTCCACACACAGCCAGAAGAGGGCAAGGGGCTCCCAGGTCAGAATCTTGGCAGGGAAGAGAGGCCCAGCAAACCCCAGGCCATTCCTGGTGGGGCAAGGACTCGTGCAGACATTGCCTCTCCATGCAGCCCTTGTGCCCTCCCTTCTGTCGCTCCTGGAGCCCAGTGGCAGGTGGACACCACATTACCCAGACACCCTGTGGGGCCAGGACTAGGGCTTCTGATGGGGAGCAGAAGCTGAGGAGGGAGGCGGGGAGGGGCACAGTGTGTGTGACCATGGGCTGCCAAGGGGAAGGTGAAGAAAGGCACCCTGTGTGTCAGCAGTTCCACAGGAGAGGCCTAATTCCAGACTCCAGGGCCCAAGGAGCATGCAGGGGGCATCTGGCTGGAGGCACCGCAGCACAGTGTGTCTGTGCCACAGGTGTTGGGTGACCAGAGCATGAAGTGGCACCAAGAGACATGTGGGTGCATTGGGCAGAGGGGCTGGTCCTGTAAGGGTCACAATTGGGGCTGGGCTGTGTCCAGATTGGGACTGTACTGACACCACTGGTGGCTCCTCAGGAACAGGCAGGAGGCTGAGAGAGAGTGCTGTTGCAGCAAATTCTGGAAGTCCCAGACAGGGAGAGGCAGTGAGGGAGCAGGATGGAGGGATGATGGGCCCAAGGAGAGGGGTCCTTCCAGTCCTGGGGACACAGTTCTGTGTCAGGGAGTGATCCAGACAGTGTGAGAGACAGCAGGGATGGCGAGGAGAGCATGGTGGGGAGCTTTCATTTATGGGTGACATTCAGGGAAGGGTTCTCTGGTGAGGTGTGTTTGAGCAGACGTTGGTGGAGAGAAGGGCAAGTATGAGGGCCACGTGGAGAGTATTCCAGGCAGAGCAGACCCTAAGGTGAGTGTATCCACCCTGCTCAGGGAACAGCCAGAGCAGAGGTGGGGAAAGGCCTGGGAGGCCCTGAGTGCCCTGATAGTGCTGTGGTCTGACGAGCAGGAGGGAAGCTACTCAACTCATGTGGCATGGCCTGGGGTTTCTCAATTTGAATGAGAGACAGACTGCCAAGACCTTCATTTGAAGGATCCAGGGCATGAAGAAAGAGGGAGGTGCCAACACCTCTCTCCTGGTGTGACAAGGAATCTTATGCCTATTTCTGTCTTCAGAAAGATGGACACAACCCGTTACATATTGTCACCAGGGCCAGCAATTGTCCAGCAAACTCCAACCAGAATTGCAGGTGTTACAAGAAGGTGAAGGTGGTTTTGACAAAACAGAGCAGTCTCTGAAGGCTTGCCTGTTGAGTGAGACAGAATCTGGTGTTTGACACATGTCCCTGCCACACAGGAGAGTTGGGTGATGCTTCCGTGCATTCCATGGAGCTAGCTTTGCCTCTCTGTGCCTGTGGCCAGGGGCTGCCTCTCCACACTGGTAACTCCTAAGACCAAGCCTGGATGCCACTTGCTGGCACAGAGAGAACAAAAGATAGGCCTGAGGGGTTTACACCTTGCATTGTGGAGAAGAAAAAAGTAAAGTATGTGACAATGGAACACAAAGCTTTCCTTGTACAGGTGGAAGGGGTGAGAACCCACCTGCATTTGGGTCACATTCCAAGGTAGAGCCAACAGGACTTGCTGCAGGTGTGAGAGGAAGGGGCTGTGGAGGAGCACCAGGGTTTTGGTCAGCAAGCAGGCAAACTGCAGGAGTGACTCCTTAGATGTTGTATTAGTCCATTTGTGTTGCTATGATAGAAATATCTGAGACTGGGTAATTTATAAGGAAAAGAGGTTTATTTGGCTCACGATTCAGGGACAGCTGCATCTGGCATGGGCCTCAGGCTGCTTCTACTCATGGCAGAAAGTGGCAGGTACAAGGCGATCACGTTGGTGGGGAAAGAGGTACCGGGGTCTATTAAACAACCAGCTCTCGCGGGAACTGATAGAGCGAGAACTCACCCATTAATCCCCCTCTCCCACAGAGAGCATTAATCCATTCATTAGGGATCCGCCCCCATGACTCAAACTGCCACATTGCGATCAGATTTCCATGAGCTCTGGCGGGACCGTACATCCAAACTCCATCACGTGTGGAATCCTGGGGAGGGTGGGTTACCCAGGGGCTCACCCAGCACTCCAGTGAGTCCTCATGCCTCTTGCCTCCTCCACAGAAGGTAAGGCTTCCAGCTCTGCAGATTTCTTGTCTGTTTTCCTGTTGCTGCCACAGCCATTCCTTTCAAGTGACTTTATGTTTATTGTTTCAGATTGTGACAACAGGACTGAGGACAAGGAGTTTCTTCAGAAGGAAGATATTTCTGAGGATTTGGAATCACAGGCAGAAGTGTCAGAAAACTGTGCTGGTGATGTTTCCCAGGCACCCAGGCTTGGAGAACTCTGTGACAACGCATTAGAAAGAGATTGGGGAGTCCCTGAAGGTGAGGGCCTGGTGCAGTCTTTCTGCTGGGAGGCGGACTTCACACCATCAGAAGTGCTCCATAAGAGCCCCTTAGGGGAGAAAAATCTGGACTGTAATGGTTTTGACAGAAGCTTCAGTCTGAGCCCAAACCCGATGGCATATCAAGGAGCCTCTACAGAAGAGAGGCCACATCCAAATGACATGTGTGGCCAGAGCTTCCCACACAGTGTGGACCTGACTGTCCATGAGGCAGTTCCCACAGCTGAAGGCCCACTCATATGTAATGAGTGTGGAAAAACTTTCAGAGGAAACCCTGATCTTACTCGGCATCAGGTCGTCCATGCTGGAGAGGACTCCTTCATGTGTGATGAATGTGGGAAATCCTTCAGCCAGAACTCGGTTCTTAAAAGCCATCAGCAATCTCATGTGAGGGAGAAGGTCTTCCATGGGCCGTCAGACCTTGCCAGGCATCAGACTCACCACAGGACTGAGAAGCCTTGCGTGTGTGATGAATGTGGAAAAGGCTTCAGCCAGAACTCAGGTCTTAAAAAGCACCAAAAGTCTCACATGAGTGAGAAACCCTATGAATGCAACGAGTGTGGGAAGGCCTTTAGGCGGAGCTCAAACCTCATCCAACATCAGAGAATCCATTCTGGGGAGAAACCCTATGTGTGTGACGAGTGTGGGAAGGCCTTCAGGCGGAGCTCAAACCTCATTAAACACCATAGGATTCACACAGGTGAGAAGCCTTTCGAGTGCAACGAGTGTGGGAAGGCCTTCAGCCAGAGCGCACACCTTCGGAAGCACCAGAGGGTTCACACCGGAGAGAAGCCCTATGAGTGCAGTGATTGTGGCAAACCATTCAGTCGAGTCTCCAACCTCATTAAGCATCACAGGGTCCACACTGGAGAGAAGCCCTATAAGTGTGGTGACTGTGGGAAGGCCTTCAGCCAGAGCTCCAGTCTTATTCAGCATCGGCGGATTCACACAGGAGAAAAGCCACATGTGTGTAACGTGTGTGGAAAAGCCTTTAGTTACAGCTCTGTGCTCAGAAAGCACCAGATAATCCACACGGGAGAGAAGCCATATGGCTGCAATGTCTGTGGGAAGGCCTTCAGTCACAGCTCTGCCCTTATTCAGCACCAGGGCGTGCACACAGGTGACAAGCCCTATGAGTGCCATGAATGCGGGAAGACCTTTGGCCGCAGCTCCAACCTCATCCTTCACCAGCGAGTCCACACTGGAGAGAAACCCTACGAATGTACTGAGTGTGGGAAAACCTTCAGCCAGAGCTCAACCCTCATTCAGCATCAGAGGATTCATAATGGGTTGAAACCCCATGAATGTAGCCAGTGTGGCAAAGCCTTCAACCGAAGCTCAAACCTCATTCACCACCAGAAAGTCCATACTGGGGAGAAACCTTACACATGTGTTGAATGTGGCAAGGGCTTCAGCCAGAGCTCACACCTTATTCAGCATCAGATAATCCACACTGGCGAGAGGCCCTATAAATGCAGTGAGTGTGGGAAAGCATTCAGTCAGCGTTCGGTCCTTATCCAACACCAGAGAATTCACACTGGGGTGAAGCCCTACGACTGCACTACATGTGGGAAAGCCTTCAGCCAGCGCTCAAAGCTGATTAAACACCAGTTGATTCACACCAGGGAGTAGCCCGTTGGTCTGGTAGGAGTGAAGTCCAGCATGGTTTCCTCTCCGACTCTGGCCGTCTTCCAGGCCTGGAGCCAGTGCTCACTTGCTGCCCTTCACCCAGTGGCCAGGAAGCCTGGATCACCCTTTACAGGCTTCTGTCTCACTGCCATTGTTCCTGCTCTGGCGACCTCTTGTTTTGTTTTGTTTTTACAGTTTGAGTGCAGACTGCCACGTTTGTTAGGAAGAAAAAGATTATGGGGGCTGCATATTCATGAATAGAGTTTGTTATTGTCATCAAGTTCCAAAAAAAAGTAAAGTGACATTTGGTTTGCAATAACCACAGTAATTCTTTTGTTTGGTAATTAGTCATAAGGAGTGCATTCTTTGTCAGTGGCTGTAGTTGACATTTTGTTTACATAAAGTCAGGTTGAGAGTGTTCCCGGTCTGACTACTGGCATCCTCCCCAGAGGGGCACATACTCACTACCACTATTCCTCTCCCTTCATCCCCACCGCCCCACCCTCTATGCATATCTGCTGTCTCGGTTCAGCTTTCTCATTGCTTTGCTGTGCTCAGGTCCCCACACCCCACTCGGGACTGCTGCACAGTCTCGTGGCTGTTCCCAGCCTCCAAATTCTGTGCCTCCTGGTGCAGGACCTGCAGAGGAAGTTCTCTCTAAGAACCTCATTTTCTTCCCCACTGTTTCCAGGTTCAGTCTTTCCCCAGACACATTAGTCACCAGACATTTATGGGGCACCGACTAGGTGCCCTGCCCTAGGGGTTCAGCTTACCCACTCCCCTATCCTCAGTTTCCCAGAGCTGTGCTCCTGTCCCCTGAACAGGGAGAACTCAGCCCAAATGCAACATCTCTCACCAGGGAGGCCCCTCGATACCAGCCAGCAGATCTTAACCTAGGGGTGTTACCAGACATGGTTCTCTGCAAACTACAGCCCACGGGCCAAACCTGGCCCCCATCTGCTTACAGCCATGCCTGTTTGTTCACAGATATCTATGGCAGCTTTTGCACTACTGAATTGAGTAGTGGTCCACATTATGGCTCACAGAACCAGAGTATGAACTTTATGGCACTTTACAGGAAATCTTTGCTGATCCAGCCTTAAGACACTACATGACCCAGGTGGTTATCAGGAGCTGGACTTGCCCAGAGGCTTGGAGTTCTTACAGGAGTTGAGGTGCATTTTGTGGCCAGGGGACTAGTCTGTGTTGTGCAGTGATCACCTGTGTACAGGCAGGTGGTTCCTGGCAGTTTCACAGACACAGGATCCATCCCTCCATACCCTTTCCCCAATACTCAGTAGGTCTTCAGGAAAGATGCACGACCTGAGAGCCTACCTCAGTTCTTAACTGCAGTCAAGAGTTCTGTGAAGATTAAATGAACTGATCTGTGAAGTATTTTAAAACTGTGCCTAGTCCTTGGCAGCCTGTGTAGATACTATCATTGTTAACGAAATGTATAAATCTCACAGAATCACCAGGAGAGCTGAAGAAACAGGTTTGGGGCCAAGCTTCCAGGAAAAATTCCAGGACTATTCTGTGGAACTGCCCCACCAAGGGAGCTGCCACCCACTTGGTAATCCCACTGCCCTGCCATGACCCAGACCAGCAGGCAGCTGTCGAACTTCCCTGTTTAATTCTGCTTTGACTTAGAGTCTTATGCAGGTTCATCAGAAACAACTTTTATTCTCTGCTAGTATCAAGGGAGTCCAGGAAGTGTAGATTCTAACATGTGGAGGAGGTTTCCTGGGATTTTGAATAGTCATAAATGACAGATGTCCACTATAACCTACATTTTTATAATTTTTTAAATTCTGAAATAATTTCACACACAAAAGCAGTAAGAATACTACAAGGAATACCCGTATCCCTTTACTCAGAATCTGTAGTTAACATTTTGCCACACTTGCATTTTTTCTCTGAGACTTATATTGCAGATGTGATGAGCCTTTACCTCTGAACACGTCAGCATGTGCTTCCTAAGAACAGACGTTCTCTTTCATGACCACGGTATTATCTTCAGAGTCAGAAAATGAACGTTGATGACATAATTTATAAATCTTATTGATGTTTTGCCAATTGTCCCAGTAATGTCCTCTATAGCAATTTAAAATATTTTTTCCTGATCTGGGATCCAGTCTAAGCTCACACATACGTGGTTGTCATGTCCTTCTGCCTGGAATAGTTCTCCAGTCTTTGTCTGCTATGACATTGACATTTTTTAAGAGAATAGGCTATTTTGTAGGGTGTCCGTCACTTGGATTTGTCCTGTGTTTCCTGATGATTTTGGCAGGAGCCACAGAAGAGGTGTGTCCTTGGTTCATCACATCAGGAGGTCCACGATGTGGGGTTTCTGTCCCTTTCAGGTGATGTTACTCTTTATCACTTGGTTAAGATGGTGACTGCTAGTTTTCTCCACTGTAAAGTTACTGTTTCTCTCTTTTTAACTAAATATTTTCTGGAAAGTTACTTTGAATCTATGTAAGCAACCTGTTTCTCATCAGCTTTTACTCACTGTTTAGATCCATAAATGATTCTTGCTTCTAATCCCATTACCATTGGGAAGAGTTTTGCCTTCTCCACTTATTTATTCATTTATGTAGAATGGATTCATTGACTCCTACTTATTCAGTGGGTCACCGTTTGTCATTAATTGCGATGCTCCAGTTGGCCCAGATCTGGCCAGTGGGAGCCTGTTCCAGTTCTCATATCCTTTTTGTGCCCTTATCATTTTTTAACACTTTTTTCCCGGCACAACAAATTGTTCCAAGCTCGTCTTGTACTTTCTCTGCCCTGGCTGTGAGCTAAGTCCTTTTCCCAAGGAGTCCTGGTCCCTTTTTGCAGAGAATGGGTTTTACAAAACGAAATCTGGGTGCTGGGTTGTGCTTATTTGTTACCGGGCGTATCATTGCTTCTGGGCCCTGTCATCAGAGAGCTAGGAGATGTGTATTTGTGTACACACACCAGCTTGTTTCAACTTCCATACTTAACAGTATATTAACCTTGAGTTTACACCAGTTACTACCAATTCCAATCCAACACCGCAGTTTATCTATCCTTCCCTCTTTCCATACTTGTAACCACACATACATGCTTTAAAAAAAAAAAAAAATGACCGGTAACGGGAACTTAACCCTTGACTTGGTGTTGTCAGCACCACATTCTCCCAAGTGAGCAAACCGGCCATCCCTATATAGGGATCCGAACCCATGGCCTTGCTGTTATCAGCACCGCACTCTCCCGAGTGAGCCAAGGGCTGGCCCTCACACATGCTTTTTTTTTTTAAGCAAATATGGTTCATATTATCCTCGATATACTTAATATATTTGCACAATCCTAGTGTGTACTAAAAGATTCAGAATCTCTAATCCATGACCATTGTATAAAAACAATCTACCAATTGTTCAATATTTGCTACATGATTTTCCACTTTGATTTGAGGATGTGTAGTTGAAATACTGTGTAAAAACATACTTGAGTCTTGGTTTTGTCTTGTTCTTTTAACAGCGGCTCTGTTGTTCATTTGTAACAATTAGGGTTATATATTTCTGTTGTGTTCCATGGCAGTGGTTGCCTTTTTCCTTGTGGATTTCATTTTTTTATAGGTAAGTGACCTCCATTTTTTAACCAAAAATTCTTCAGAGGGACATTAGGAAAAGAGTCATGAATAAATAGTGAAGTCTATCTTGTTCATTCACAGGAACGCTCAATATTGTCATAACAAAAAATCTTCCTAAATCTATGAATTCAGTGCAGCTCCAGTCAAAATATGAATGGGAAAAATTGGGGAACCAGTCCAAATTATCCTAAAGCTCACCCAGAAGACACATAGAAGAGTAGCAGGTGTCTTAAGGTTTGTTTGGTAGCCAATAAAGACATCCGCTCAGTTAGTGTAAGGGAGAAGGGGTCCGCTGGAGGACTGCAGGTATGCCCACCTCATGTGCCTGAGGCCGGGAAGTGGGGCACTGTCAGGAGCAACTTCAGGCTCTTGGCTTCTCCAAGTCCATTTCATTCTTTCCTCTTTAGATATGGTGAGAAAATGGCCACCCCCGAGTTTGCTCCCAGTTCACCTGCCCTCACATGGCTAGGAACAGGACCAATTTGTGATAGTTGCTGTATCCTTGATCCATATGCTCCAGGAGAACACCTGAAAGAGCCAGGCTCAGACAGGGTGTCCACCCAGTCAAGCCACCTCTGTTTAGAATGGCAGGAGCAGGGGTCGCAGTCTGCAGGCCAGTGTCAGTGGGTAAAAATCAAGATTTCTCTTTCAAGCATGTGAAGCTTGAGGTCTCTGTGAGAATCTAAGTGGAGTTGAGGTCTCACAAACTATGAACCTGAAGCTTAAAGATAGACTTGGGATGGAGGTGTCAATTCGAAAATTATTAGAATTCTTTAACTGATATATGAATCCCTTGGGAAAGCATGAAATGCCCTGGGCCGAGAACTAGGAAGAGGACTGGACTCGAGCCAGGGCGTCCCGTTCAGCGGGGCATGGGCGGCATGGAAGGTGATGGCAAGGCCCTTTTTTTCCTTTTCTAAATCTTGATGGATTGTTTTTCTCAAAAGACCCTTAGTTATGTAGCTAAGTACTTAATTGGGAAATAGAGAAATTAGGGAAAGGAGAAGAGAAAGGAAAAAGCAGAAACGGGAGGACGGGGGCGGAAACTTTCACTGTCTGCTGGGACCAGGGATATGAACACCAACCCCAAATCCACCCTGCAATGTCCACCCCTTCCTGCAGCAGCTCTGCAGACCTTGCTTCTTCCCTTGCCTCATGGCCCCAGCTACAGTTCATGTCCCAGAATAGCATTTGTTAAAAGCACTAAATTCACTGAACAGGCAAGAGCTAGTGTCACTTTCCACCCCTGCCACTCCCCAGTTGCCACATCTGATGTGGGCTTAATTCTGGCTACTGAAGTGGCAACCAGCATCCCTGTTCACCCCGTACAGGGGCCAGGACCACCAACGGAGCTACACACACGTGGCAGAATCACATGCCCCACAGAAGGCCCAGAGAGGGCAACTGTCCTGATTTCAAATGTAGCTGCCCCAATTTAAACTTTTTAAATTTTAAAGCCAACACCGTTGCAGAAAATGCAAGTTTGGAAAAGGGGAAAAAAGATATCATAATTCCAGCACTGAACACATTCTCTAGGGATACCACTTCCAGGCTGAGACCTGGCATTTACTGAGCTCTCTCTGGGACCATCTTTGGCAGGAGCATGAGACAATTCTGAGCGAGTCTGGACGGACAGAAAACTACATACAGGCAGCGAGGAAGGGGTACGGCCCCTGGCCAAAGATAAGACCACTTACCCCTCTCAGTGTGTTGGAGCTGCGGCCAGTGTTTTGTCTTGGTTGTCACTTTGGTGTTTTTTAGTGGCTGGTTGGTACAGGGATCCGAGCCTGTGACCTTTGTGT